TGTCCAGGGGTTGAATCAAGGGTCTCTTCCTTAGCACATGACCTTGGGAAGGCAGCTTACCTTTCCCTTGCTCAGGTCCCAAGTAGGCAGTGTTGAGAAGTGCCTTCTGTATTACTTGAAACAAGGCAAACATTCAGCAAGCGTCTGTTATTCAAGTATTGGTTCCCTTCTGTGCCAGGAGTACTGTGGCAGATCTCACAAACTGTAAAGGGAAAAGAAATCATTGAAAATGGGCCAGGCGGTGTAATACATCCATCACCACTAGATGGCAGTGCTAAGTAATTGGTTATTAACTGGTCTTCAGAACTAAGCACTAACTTTTGTTACTCAATTATCTAGTCACTCATTCATTCAACACATATGTAGTCAATGCCAGTATGCGCCTATCACCACAGTTCGGATGCAGGACCAGCAAAGGAAGATACAGTCCCTGTCCATGGACATTATGGACAAGCTGAGGTAGGAGCAAAGAATCACACCAACAAAATATCACATCTTTTGTGAGTGTACAAGGGTACCAGCCTGTGTCCTGGGGAGATGAGAAAAAGAGGAAGCCACGATCCGAGGAAGAACAGGAGTTGGTAGGTGGGATGGTGTGGGGAAAACTGAAATTCCTACGCCAGGGTCCTCACCTGACCCTCAACTTGATGATGTAACTGGCCTGCTGCTGGGCTACTGCCCCACATCCGTAGGCAACAAGCTATTACTGACTGCGTAACTGTAAAGAGCTCTTCCCAGTGCTCTGGACAGAGGCAGATACAAAGGAGGATTACAGACCTGACAGCTGTTGGATGTGGACCTAATACTAGTGCTTGACCTACGGGGGGAGAACAAGCTGGTTAATAAACCCTTTTACCCCCAGACCGTTCCATTCCATTGTCATTCCTCCATCTCACTGAATCCATAGTGAACTTGCCTGGGGCTGAAACCCCCAGGTCTTGGCAAGACAGAGGGGGGAGGGGGTGCTTGTGCAGAGCGAAGAGCCTGTCAAAGGCTTCCAGGTGAACAGGAGGCCTGCACGTTCACATGGCTGGAGCCCAAAGCACAGCGGAGCAGGATGGGAGCTGCCGTCCTAGAGGATGAGCTCACGACCTCAGAAGCCTTGTTCTTTGGGGGGATTTGGGCCCAGATCCAAAGAGCAATAGGAGGTCATTAAAGGGTTTTAAACCCTGGGAGGTGGAGAGAGCTGGGTGACTAGATTGGATTTGCATTTGACAAGTTCAGATTTGCAGTTTTAACAGGGTTGCTATGTATGCTCTGGGGACTGGCTGAAAGCGGAGCAGAGTGGAGGCAGGGAGAACCATTAGAGAACTCTCCCTGGAGTCTGGGGAGGAAGGACGTGTCCTGGATCAGGGCAGGGGCAATGGAGATGAAGGGAAAGGCCTGGGTTGGGGGTAAGTTCAAGAACCCAATGACTAGGAGGTGGTACAAGAAAGGGGAATGCTACAGATGGCTCCCGCCTGTCTGGCTTAACTGGGACTTGAAGGGAAACTGACAGGGAGGGGCCAAAGCATCAAAAGCTTAAAAACTGGAACTCACTCTCAGAGAAAGGGCATGGCTCCTTTTAATGGCCCCATTGCTTCCCGGGCTCTTTAAATAGCCTAGAGCCCTGAGTGCTAGCATTCCGGACCCCTTATCACTGCACACAGCCTTCAGCTTAGATGCTGAGGGAGGAGACTGTTCAGCCAGGTAGGGCAGCTGCTCTGAGCGAAGGGTTCTTTCAGAGACATCTCCCTTGACTATTTCCGTTTCAGTTAATGCACAGTCAACTTGTTTGTTTTTTCTTTTTTGATGAGCATGAATAGACGCACACAGGCCTGGGGTTCAATCCCAGTTCTATGACATATAAAATAAGAGCCTTGGGCAATTATTGACCACCCTAACTTTAATGACGGGGTTGCTCTGCAGCTCTCAGTACAAAAGAATGAGAGAAGATCAAGAAAATGTGGCAACATGTTAACTGGTGGATCTAAACTAAGCTATAGTGGTGATAATTTTGCCATCTACATCAAGTCAACAGGTTATATACCTTAAACTTACACAATGTTATGTCAATTGTATCTCCATAAAGATGGGATGGTGAAATCTGGGTGATATGGATGTTTATACTATTCCTGTAATTTTTCAAAAGGTTTGAAATTTTCTAAATAAGTGTTGGGACGTATCACAATAAAACATGTAAGAGGGAGAGTGGATGAAGAGTATAGGTTCAACAATGCTGGCTCTTAGTTTCAAACTGTTCAAGGTGGGTGACAGAGCAAGGCGATTCATTCCATTATTTTCTACTTCCATATATTTAAAATTTTTTCCATAGCAAGTTTTTCTAAAAACATGGTTATCCTCCGGAGTAAAAGACCTGCAAAGTGCCAGCACAAAGTCCTGTTGATGTTCAGAGAAGTCTTGTCTGAATTCCTTCCCACTGATTATCATTTGCCCTTCTGCCCCGGGGGGGCCAACGCTGCCCTGCAAGGCAGTTTTTCTTCTCAGATTAGCTGCAAGATGTGTGGTTTTTTTTAAATTTCATCCTGAAAGAGCTGAAAATTACTGATGAATAATTACTAATGAGGAGCTTTGCACAATTCCTTGGACTTAAGCGCCTGACAACTGAGAGGACTCCCCTCGCCACAGACATACCAACCCTAAGGTGTAGGAAGCCACAGGAATGAATGCTGGGTGGATACATGGAGGGAGACAGGGGTCCCTCTTAAGTGCCCATTCCCTGCACTGCTCCTGCCAAGTTCCGGGGTTCCTGGGCTCCTTCTCCCAGACTGCTCAGGGTGACCCTGGAGCACCTCAGCTGAGAAGTGTGCCTTCCTGGTTTGACGACGCAGTCCCCCACTTCTCTCCTCTGCCCCATTCTTACCCCACCCCTCCAGCACCCCTGTGCCAGCCCCCCACCCCACAGGCAGTTCACAATGGGCCTCAGTCCCTCCCACTGCCATGTTTTTGCCCTTGCTCACGCAAGAGCTCAGGCCTGGACTGCCCCCCAGTATTTTTCTAGCCATCCTGCTTCTCTCCATACCAGCTGGATGACACGGAGCAAGTTCTTAACCTTCCAAGATTCTCTTTTCTACGGGGATATTAATACCCTCCTCCTCCAACTGTTTTGCAGATCAGGAAAGATGGCATACAGAGATGTCATTTAGCATGAAGAAACAACTCAAGAGTTATTATTTTCAGAACTTGACTGAAATTGTCTTATTCCTGCATCTTCTTGCTAGGTTGTAGCCTTCTTTGCATCTCTTATGTCTATCAGGATACCTGGCAAGTAGCAGATGGATGGACTTGCAAAGAGCCATGTATCAGAATCACCTGAGGGTTTGTTTTCATTTTGTTTTCAAAACATAGATCCCTGGGCTGCAGACCTATTAAGGAAGGGGACTGAGTCAAGGGATGACCCTGGGTGGGATCTGCATCCGGACTAACCCTTCATCTCTAATGCAGATAACTGAAGTTTGCTAAATCACATGTCAAGTGCTATTAAGATGCTTCAAAACAAGTCTTGTCCTACCATCTATTAGTTTCCTAGGGCTATAGTGACAAATTACGGCAAACAGCACGTGGCTTAGAACAACAGAAATTTGTTCTCTCGCGGTTCTGAAGGCTAGAAATGCAAAATGAAGGTATTGGCAGGGCCATGCTCATGCTGAAGGCTCTAAAGGAAAATCTGCCCCCTATCCCTTTGCTTCTGGTGTTGCCAGCACTCCCTGGCATTCCAGCTTGTAGGCACAGCACTCCAGCCACTGCTTGTATAGTCAAAGCTTCCTCTGTCTCCCTCTTATGAGGACACATGTCAGGAGAAAGAGGGCTCACCCTGGCAATCCAACATCACCTCCTCATCTCAAGAGTCTCAACTTAATCACATCAGCAAAGCCCTTTATTTTTCTTTTCCAAATGAAGTAACTTTCACAGGTTCCAGGTATTAGGATGTCTTTGGGGACCATTACTCAGCATATGACACACACAAATCCCATCAGATTAAACTGAGGTGATTTGCAAGCTTCCTGTGATTCTAATGCATCTATGACAACCACTGAGATGGGCACTTACTGTAAGTTTCTTGAATGAATAAACGAATGACTAAGAAATGGCTTCCTATACTGTGGAAAATCCCCTCCTAGCTTAAAGTCACTGAATGACTTTAAGAATAGGCAGAGAGGTCTAATATGCCACAACTAAAAAGGTCTACGACAAAAAAAAACAAAACAAAGAACAGTTTTTGGGGTTCATGACTTCCAGAAATACAATGGGCCACAGACACCTCCCATCAGAGAGGAGTACGCTCCTCCCTCCGTTTAGTTCCTTTTGTGGATGACGCAGGTTTCTTCTCCCTAGGGTGCCCAGTTTCCCCCTTCCCCCAGAAATGCTTGTGCAATACTAGACTGACTCACCCAGGAAAAACTCGTGACTCACCTCTGATTTACAGTTTGATTCCAGTAAGAGACTTAGGCTGTTGAAATATCTTAACCAAGGCCACGGAGTGACTCCTGGGTCCAGGCACACTGGGCAACCCAAGAGCAGGTAGGTGCCTTTTCTGGGCCTTTTTTTCCCAGCAAGGCTTCTGCTGTGGGTAACAAGCAGTGGTGTGCTGATATTTAACACCAGTTCTCCAAGGGCGAAAGCCTTTGGATTTGTAGTGTTTACCTCTTTCTGAGGTGTAAATACTCCCATTGTGGCCAATTTCAAGCTGCCAACGTGATGTCACTAAAAGTACAATTGGAAAGAGGCAGGCACAACCATGTCACCAGCCAGCTCCATCGTCATCACTTCAGCTCCCTGTGGACCTAGGGAAAAACTTCCGTCTTCTCTCGTAAGAATTTGCAGGACCAGGAGCTGGACAATGTAGCTGTTAAAGGACCACCACAGTCAATTTCCTAACTTCAAGGATCAAACACTACTGCTGGGAACAAATGTTTAAAAATAATCACAGATCTTTACGATCTCTTCCAGCAATAAAATTCTAGGCATAAAACAAACACTGACATCTTTCTCCTCTGAACTGTCACCAAGCTTTATTTCTAGACTTTTTAAGTTATGATTTATTTAACATTATGCCAAGCACTGTTCCAACATACTTTGATCCAATTTATCCTCCCAAGAAGTCTATGAGGCAAGTACTTTAATAATCTCTTTCAACAGATGAGCAAACTGAAGCACTCAGGGCTTTAAGTAACATGCCCAAGTCACACAGCCCTGAATTGCTTTTGCAATTTCCAATAAAGAGTGGCAGAATGAATGACCAATCTTCCAACCCAGAAAGCTCTTCACATATTTTAGGTGCAGATTCATAAAAAATTGAAAAGCATTATTTATATCTATTTAATTGTAAACTGAACCTAATAGACATATATACCAACAATATTCAACACAATGATCAGTCTTGGGACAACACTTCGCCTTTCCATATTTATCTCTACTGAAAGAGCTCAAATCTCTTTGCAATTATCAATTAATTACACGTCCATACTCCTCAGAGGCTAGGCATTACATTTATGGTCTGTTTTATGGTTACTTTATAGCTGTTAGCAGTACTGAAAATAAGAATAATTTCACGCACCATACAATGTGTCACGTAGCCACCAGAGTCAGACATGGTCATTGTTCAAAGGTTTAAAATAAAAGCTAAATTTCTAAGAAATCATCTAGTATTTCTTTGCCAATGACAATACCTCTAATTTATAAAGCATTTTATGGTTTAGAAGTTTTTCATGTGTAGCCACTATAGCACATGGAACCTGGAACGTCAGATTTCTAAACTCGAAATCTGGTTTTGGGTCTCATTCTATTCTACGTGTACTTTTTAACTGCTTACTTTTATTTGGAGTAAGTCATGGATTCATGTGGTTGAAATTCAAACGTTACAAAGACTTTCAGAAGAAAAAAAGTTCCCAACTCGGTCCCCCTAGCAACCTACCTCCTTCCTTGGAGGCAAAACAATGTTGTAACGTCTTGATATCCCTCCAGGGATCTTTTATGTAAGTTACCAGTAAACAGCATATACCGCATACCATTTCATACAAAAGTTAGCATTCTACACCTGTGGAAAGTGTAGCTGGTTTCCTCTCCTGTGAAAGGGCAGTGGGGAGGATGGCCAAACACGAAACTGCCTCCTCCGAATGCCTGCCACGCAGTCAGCACTACGGGCAGCTTCCCTTTTCTTACTCGCGAGGAGGCTTGGAGGGAAGGAGTCTTCAAGGGGCCCGAATACCAGGTACTTGTTAATCCAAGACTGTGTCCCCGCCTCCCCCAGTTTCCACTTGAGGCCTGGTGTGGGCCCAGGGTTTGCCTTTCCAACCCGCGGACGGGCGCCGCAGACGCTGCGGGTCGGAGGTTCACTGGGGAACCTCCAGGCGGAGTGGGAGCCGAGATGCCCGAGGCTCTGCAGAGGCCCCGCCGAGCACATTATTCCCTGAGCTTGTTTTCTCTCTAATAAATGAAAAACTCCCATCTCAAAGGCTGCTGTGCAAGTTAAATGAGACAATGCATGCGCACGGGCCTTCGTCATGGCGAACACTCAAGGAATGAGGAAAAGACGGGGGGCGGCTAGGAGCCCGCCCTCGGGACGCGGCGCCCGCAGCCCACGCCGGGGACTGGTGGAGCCAGAGCGTGGCCGGGCCGGGCAGTGCGTCAGGGCTCGGTCTGCGGAGGGAGGCAGAAGCCCCACCTGGGGAACGACGTTGTAAAAGTCCAGAAACACCAAGCACCGCGTACCAAGATCTCTGGACGCAAATAGACAAGTTTACTGCTTAAGCGGCGTGTAGACGCGCAGGTGCCCCGCGCTGAACGCATGGACGCAGGTTCGCGCAGGGGCAGCCCCGCCCCTAGGGCGGCGGCGGGCGCGGACGTGCGGCGCGCCGGGAGGGAAATGGCGGAGGGACGGGCGGGCGAGCGGGGCGCGGCCGGAACGCCGCAGCCCGCCGCCAGGGGGCAGCCGCGCGTCTGCGGGCCCCGGCCGGCTGGAACCGGTCTGGCCGGAAGTTGGGGCGGCTCCTCGGCTTCCGCAGCGACGGGCCACGTGGCCGGCCGGCAGGGACTGGGAAAAACAACAAGATGGCGGCGGAAGCGGGGGGCGGAGTCCGCCGGGTCGCCTGAGGCCGCGGGGTCCCTTAAAAGGCAGCGTTCGCGGGCCAGGGCGGAACCAGTTCAGTCGTTTGCCGGCGATGTCCTGTTCCTTTGTCGAGCTTTCGAGGCCACCGGTCGCCGCTCCCTGGGCACCCCGAGGGTTACTGCGGGGTGTTCGCGTGAAGCCGCCGGCCTGCTTCTCAGGGTCTCCTTTTATTTTTTTGGTCCCTGCGTTCGCGGGACAGCAGAAACGCCTGCCTGCGGGCGTTTTCTTCCAGGGAGCGATTAGATGCTGCAAATCGGGCAGGGCGAGGCCTAGTCGGCACCGAATGCGTTCTCGTCTGTTCACAGTTTCGGTTGCTGTTTCTTTCCTTTGTCAAAAGCTTAAACCTGCCTCCCGTCTGGTGGAGGGAAAAAAACCCTCAATGATCTAAAGATGGTGTAGAGTAGCCTCCCCGCCCTGTCCGAGCGTTGCTGAAGTTTGATTTGTGCATATGAGCTGCTCTGAGATCCCAAGTATGGCCAAGTCCGAAGTGATTTTTATTTTAGACACCTTAGACGTTTTCTCAAAAATGTAGATGTCGGTGGTTGTGTATTAGAAAATGCAGGAAATAAGAAAAGCACGATCTAGCGTTCATGGCCTTTCAGGAAAGGCCGGCAGCGTCCCCCTCAAGGGCGCGGGGCTGGATCCTGGAAGGTAGAGCCGTCGCCTCCGTTTGCACCGTGTTCATTTTTTCACCACCGTTTTCTTTAACCTGAGTTTGAGGTGAAGAGCCAGTGTGGATAAAAATAGTTAAGCTATTCTGCTTATGATGGTATATTTAGAATAAAGGAGGTTTGTCCTCTTAAGAGTTAGGATGCAGATTCATTCTGCCTAATTCGTGAGGTCACTGGTGAGTCTCTGAAATGATGGTACTTTTTTTGGTCTGGTTTTTTTCTTGTTTTGTTTTTTTAAATAATGAAACTTGTCTCCCAGAGGTTTGGGAGGTAATCAGTAAAAATTTTCTAAATGTAGTAAGGGCTCCGAATGAGGGCACCCACCCCACAGTGACAAAGCTCAGGAAAAACATGGACTTTTTAAAAATGAAGGAGCCATTACGGTTTCCTCAGTCTGGTAGGGATTTTAACGCTTGTGCTAGGATCAAAACTGCGTTGCTATTAAGTGACAAACTGGAAGTACATAATGTAATCAGGAGGGGGAAAAAATGAAGAAAAACTCAAGGCTTTCAATGCCTAAATGCGGATTTTTGACCCAAGCAGCGTTTGAGTTTCCTTGCGGCCACTCCTTTTTATGTCCATGCCTTCTGAGGTTTTACTTAAGACTCCATCATTTTGCAAAAGGCTGGAATGTTTCCAAAGGATCCTTTAAGCTGGAGAGTTGAGGACCCTCTCTCCTCGCAGACTGGGAAAAGAATGCAACTTCCTTCCTAGCGTTTCCTCAAAAGAAGACTCTGCCCCATTGTGTCAGTATATTTTGCAGGGATTACTCCTTTTTTGTCTCGTTTGTACACATGATACAAATTGAATCTTGGGCAACTTTTGCCGCAAATGTTCTTTACTGAACACAAGATTGAGAGAGCATCCTCAAGCCTTAAATTGTTTTCCTCCATAATTTCATTAGCATGCTTTCCTATAAAAAGAGGAAAATGTACTTTAAATTTTAAAACAAAATATCAACCACAGCAAATTTGATCTTTTTTTTAAGAAAAAGCAAAGTAATGCGAAAAATTTGAAGAACCTATATACTTCAATAATTCAGTGTTGCCTGTCCTTGGCCTAGATTTAAATTGAGATGTTTTGTTTGAGGGGGTGATCATGTTGTGTGAACAATTTGGTAATCTTTTTACTTAACTTTTAAGAATACATTGTTCGGTTCATATTGCTAAAGCAAATTATGTTCAAAGAAAACATGAAAAGTAAACTACAAAGAAGAAAAAATGCCACCAAAGAATAACCACTATTAAACAAATTGCCTGTACGACTGTTTGTCTTAAAATAACACTACACCTAGTTTTGTAATCCTCATTTTGTGTAATGTACATTTTCTTACGTCAAATAAGAATCTTCATGACTTTTAGAGCCTGTGCAATTTTCTGTCAGGTCAATTAACCATTAACCTTTCTCACCGTTGGATACCATATTTGCTTGCCAATTTTTGCGCTTATAAATAATGCTGACATCAACCCTTATGTACAAAAAGCTTTTAACATATTTCTGTAAAACAAGATGTACAATGAATCTGAACTCTAAGTTTGAGATGTATTTGACTCCCCAAATTGTTAATTGTGTTCTATCCTGAGTCGTCTTGTTACAATGCTTAATTTCCACCTGCAGTCAAATCCCATCTCTTCTACTTCACCATCAGCCTTCTAAATTTTTAAGTTAAAAATCATATATTCTTGGTGTATTATTTTTCTATATGGATGTGTCTAATAAGTATCAGAATGATACAGCTTATCTTTCAGTTAAATATTTAAAAGGAGTCCTTTCATTGTCAACCTATTACTGTAAAATCTTTTTAACTACTTCATTTCTATGTAAAGACGTGATACAAAAGAAATTGCTGAAATTTTCTTTCTCATGCTCAGCAAGTATGTAAACATAGTTCTCCATAATTAACATAAATAAACTTTGGAAAGGGGAGTTATTGTGTCTTTAGGCTAGAGACCTTTAAGCAACATATCATTGTTTTATTAGTTAATTTCAATTGTTTTATTGTAGATGTGCTGCTAGACCTTTATCAATAGGAACAGGAAAAACAGCTCTCTTCAAAGCCAGGTGACTAAGTTTTTCTAAGGCTTCTCTAGATTAATGATATTTGGATACTCCCTATATGGAAACAGTTCCATATAGTCTGTGGATTACAAAATATATCTTGTTTACTACAGTCATTCCTTTGCTCTCTAAAAAGGATTTAGAGAATGCAGAGAAGTAAAGAGGAATAAAACAAATGTATAGGTAATAGAAAAATATCACCCCACAGCCATTACGTGATCATCTTAAAATCACCTCAGATTCTGCGACAATCTCTCCTCGGGTAACAGTTCTGATGATCCCCTATACTTTAAACAACCCTAGTTTTATCTTTAAATGAAGTCCTTCTACTTACTAAACCTAGATATATTCTACACGGATAGAGAACACAGTTTGTCAGGAAAATTTGTTCAGAAGGATTTGGCGCTTTAAGCTACCATATATGGCAATCATTCTATAATACTCTTCTTTTTGGTGATAGTACCCCAGGGCAGAGGCTTATCTCTGGGAATATAATATTTGAGACTAGCTACTAAAAAGTGTGATTCACAGATGCACAGCAGTAGACGTGAAGGTTTTTTTTAGCTATACCAATACCAAGCCTCTGTGATTAAAATCTGTTATCAGAAATTCACTCTGATCCTTTCAAAACAGCCCTTCATTTTTTAAATATCATTTAGATATACCAAATTCATAGCTGATACCCAAGACAGCAAATGAATGAATATTTTACATTTTCATTATTTTAAGGGATATTTTACTTTGAAGAACTTTTGGAATTTATATAACTCTCAGAAATATTGGAGCTGAAGTTTAAAATCTGCTACTGATACAAATGAAGGTGGAAGAAAGAAGAAGAAATGTATTTTTTAAATATTTTATTTAAAAATTATTTAATCTTGGAAACATCCAGAGTCCACTGTCAGGTGCAGATAGTGACCAGCAGTGAAAGGCAAAGATCTTAGAAATTTGCCCCTTAACTCAGCCCTGCCAGAAATAAAAGAAGTCATCTAGGTTGTCTTAGTGCTAAAGTCTAAGCCCCAGAGGCTTGGCCACTGTACTGGCAAGTTGTGGACATGATCCAGCAGGCTCAGGAGGCTCTCTAGGCAGAGGCATCACTATCTTTTGTCTCCCCTAAATCTCCTTCTGTCCCCCATATCAAATAGCCCTAAAACCCTGCTCCTTCTCTTAAGGCCTTGTGGAGGCGTGCTTAAGAATTAGAGCTTAGGAGTCAGAGGAAACCAGAAGTGGGTTCTAGTTCCATCGTTTACAAACTGCGTAACAGTTAACATTTTAGGCAGATTAACATCTCTAGGCCTCAGTTTTCTTCCCTGTAAATTGGGGATATTTCTTTTTTTTTGTTGTAGGGTTCAATGATGGACAGTACGTAATGTT